CTAGGTACCTGGCTCTTCCCTTTTGGGTGGATATCCCAGCCTGGAAGCAGGGAGGAATGTGTGGCTCCTCACCCGAGGAGATGTCAACTGTGGAGCAGTGAGTTCCATCCAACAGCAGTAGGAGTCAGTTTGCAGAAGACAGCTCAGAGGGGATGGCAACTCATCCCACGTGAAATCCAGACAGCAGAACTGAGGCTTCATGTTTCCAAGCTATCTCAGCACCTCATCATCCCAGCACCTGAGATGGAAGAGCCTGAGGCTCTTTTACCAATCCTATTGATCTCTCTTGATGATATGTGAGCATGTGCTATGTGTATGCCCTCCCCGAGCATAGGAACACATCCCTGTGCTTATATGTATAGATGCTCCATGCATGTCTCCTGAGTTCCCATTTCATCCCTGCGCTTAAGTGCTTCAGTGTGATATGGATGAGAATGAAAACAGACTTCTGTAGATCTGAAAGGGGACTGTGGGATGGAAAAGAAATGTTTTCTTCTGGCTGTTTTCTTCCCTTGAATTGGCTCTGATATTCAGGAACATCACTAGCACAAAAAATTATACGAATTATTTAGAACTACAATAAAAAGGTATTTAAGCATAAGGAAATGCATTTTCTGAACATTTATCAAGCATTGGAAGGTTGTTTTTTTTCCATTAGAGATGCTCAGGGCAATTTAAGAAATGTCTTGAAAATTGTTCAACTTGAGGCTGAAGCAAGCAGCTTTGCTTGTTGACACGAGCATGCAAGAGGTAAAGAGACAAAGAACAAAACAAGCCCAGCTGTCAGGCCTATGAACAGTGTACAGCACCAGAAAGGTCACCAACATACTCTAAATCCATTGCAGCATTTCCTGGTTATCTTGTCATACTGAAGCTCTTGCACAAAAACCTTTGTCTTCAGGGCCAGTAGATCCTTCCTCCCAGATGCTGCTAGGATTCATTTGCTGCCATGTACTTTCTTCCCTCCCTTCCTCCCCCCTCCATCCATCCACAGAAAAAAATCTGGAAAAATCAAACGTCAAGCCACGCTTTCTGTGCAATTGGGACAATAAAGCATTTCAACCCCAACATTTACTAGAGAGGTGTTCTCTTGACATGTGATGCCTCCCCCAGTACTCACGCAAGTGTATCATGACAGCAGGCCAAGTTCCATGTTTAGCTGTGGATAGTGGGTACAGCCTCACTCTGAGTGCAAGAAAGCATCATCCTCTGCTACCTGACATTGTTGTGAAAAGGTCAAGGGAACAGAAGCCTGGTTCAATTTACGCAATAGACTGGTGCCTGGAGCTTTTGACACTGGGACATCTACAGAGGAGTTCAAACCACACATGAATTGTTTGGTTATGGTTTAGCCCTGTTGTGAATGTAGCAAAGCCAGTGCAACATCAGCCTTCTCTACTCCAGAAAATCATTTGCACTATTAAACAAATTTGGCTGTCCAGGACTCCAGCAATAAAGTGACTGGGAAGGGAGTCTCCAGGGGAAGGGGAAACCAGCATACTAGTCTGTGCAATACATGCTTAAATCAAGGACAACAATCCCTCACTTCCATAAGCAAAATGTTTACTTAAAATTTTTAAGGAATTTGATTAAAACAGAAAAAGAAAAGTTGTGTGGTTCAGTAGCCATCAGCTATAATTCCATATTCCACCATAATTAAAACATGAATGGCCTTTTACAATTTACCACAACCCATACTTTATACTTTGCCTTAAAACGCTGAGTGTTGAATTTCAGCCACCCCCTTGTAAAATATGGAGCAATTCTGCCAAATTCCCTTCCATGCTCTTCATTTGATGACAAAATAACAGAGGTACCATAATTCACTTGCTATCATTCTTTTCTTGCTAATGTTTTATTCAGACTGAGCTTCATTAATAAAGATGAAACTTTGGACTCATGACTGCTCCATGTTTACAAAACATACAGGCTCCTTTACATCTTGGTTAAGCATGAACAATCACTGAACACACAATTTCCTAAAAAAATCCTGCATACCAAAATTGCATATTTTGAATTTTTAAAATTCACTAAACAAAATTTCACTGAGTGAACCCTAAAGTCTGTTTGCCAGCAAAGCACAAGTCAACAATGGATATTGGGACCATCCAGGAAAAAAACTTAAGCTGGACCCCAACACACACATCCTTCCCATTAAACAAGCAAATAAATACACATTCATACAGAGTAATGTGCTCTAAAAATGCAGGTGCACATTTTAGAATAAGTTTTGGTTTCTCAAACAGTACTGTGTCACAGTAATTTTCCATCCTTCTTTTTGGTGGAACTGGGCAGTGATTTCTTACTGGACACCAGAGGACAAAAATTAACCCGGAACCTGATGATTTTGACACAAGTCCAAATATGTTTCTCCACAGAGGAAAAATTACAAAGACAAGCTTGTCTTTTAAAGATAATAATAATAATTAAAAAAAAAATAGCAGTATCGCTTTTTAATGCCAGGTATTGAACCAAGGAATGGGACAAACTGCACTGCATTTTTAAAGTAGTATGACTATTGACATACTTGAGAAACATTTTAATACTGTACATTAGAACAAACTATTTAGTTCACTCCTACACAAGTCAGCAAAAAAGCTAGGTGATCTAACATGTATGGCAGCTGAAAATTTAAAATAATAGTCACATTCTAAAGCCAGAACAAAACTTTTCCAGAACTCCTATTTATAAAAAGAAATGAACATACACACCATGCGCATACACGCAGGCAAAAATCTTGAGGTTTTACTTATTGCTCTTACACAAGGCTGAAAGCAGGCAAATGTCTGGATCAGAAATTAGGTCAAACATGCATTTCAGCAGGCACAAGTACAGGAAGTTCGTATTAACGAAACAATGCACGGTGTTACGTAGTACAGGATGGTATTCTGCTAATATAATACTTATGTCATTAATGCCGGATAAACTCCAGGTCTGCCTGTTGTATAATGTGTTATGCAGTGTGGTATTTTAACCTAATTTCTGATTTCTCTTTCATTCTGCACCTTCCACATAGGGATGAAGAGGGCAGTTTTCAAGACAGCCGTTCTTTGCAAACCTTGGCCTCAAGAGCTTCAGTCGGGCAGGTATGGCTGGAAGGAGGCAACGTTACCGCCACTGTATGGTCAGGACCTGCTCTTTGACTGCCTTGCATTTTTGTGCATTCACAGACAACTCACATAACCAAACACAGAAGCCGGTGCAAAATGCATCAGCGCTGTTCTGGGAGCATCTTTCACCTATGCCATATGCTCCTGGTACACCCAGCAATTGCGACAGAGTAAGGCAGTAGAGGGTCGAGTCCTGTATCTGGTCACTTCCTCCAGAGTCTTACAAAAGGCAGGATTTCTTTGTGAACTGGCTTTCCTTTACACAATAAGCAGCGTAGCATGGATATCAGTAGAAATCTGGCTACCTACTGGCAACAAGAGACTTGCATGTTCACAAGACACATTTAGGAACACCTGCTGTTCCCTACTGCAACCAAATGAAACATGCTGCAGAGAGGTGTCCATGTAATTACAATGCTCACAAGCCAGGTTCAAGGCATACTGCAACTGGGCCTTGCACAAAAAAGGCATTGAATGTGTTATCTGAAGAATTATTTTTTTTTTTTTTTGCTGTGCTATGCATACATATGACAGTAGATAAAAATCAGCACAATGGTTCCTCTCCATACATGACCAAACACACACCGTAACAACTAAGCACCGTATATTCTATTCATCAGTTAACAGGAATCAAGGAAGCAAATGGTGTTTTAGGAACAGAGAAGGAAAGAAATCCAGCATGTAGTTAGAGGTATGTTCCTAATAGAAGTCTTAGCTGAGAATGTTTATTGTGAACCAGCAACTAGATTTTGTGACATAACCAGAAACCCAAGGACATCTATGGGGCAAACTTGGGCACTGCATAGTCAAAACTGTGTTATAATATGGCCTTGAGCAATCTCTAAATATTAGAAACAGCAGTAGGTAGATGACAAGAGGACACACTTCAAAGGTTATGCTTTGTACTTGCAAAAAGCAGCAGTGCAAATCAACAGTGTCTTCTTAAAGGTCTGTTATGTGCCCCTTGATCCAATCCCTAAACCTCACAGAAATTTAAGCATTTAGACTTGCCAAATACCCAAATTCACACTGAGCTCTATTTTACTTATGAGCAGTACTACTAAAGCTAGTGGGACTGCTTAAAGTAAGGCGCTACCACAATGAACATTCAGGAATTTGCCTCTTCCCAAGAAGCGAACTGCAAATCACTGGGGTGTCATGACACTCACAGGGAGACACTTCCTGTGGTTTTTTTTTTTTTCAAATCTGTCCTTATGAACATCAACAAAGACTGAAATAGGGGAATAGGCTCCATTATGCTCACCCAGACATTCTGACACCAGGACAGCCACAGCGGTTTAGGAGGGGTAGCCCACCCATGAAAGGTTAGGTTGGTCTGGGTTCTCCTCCCAGGTACCTCTTCATCACTGTGTCTTACTAGATGATTGCATCAGTTGGGATGGTGAAGCTTCCTTAGAGCAACTCCTCTGTCACACCATTCATAGGTGCACAGTTGCATTTTCTGGGAAAGAGGGAGGCAAAATAGGTCTAAATTCTCTACAAATATTTAAGAAAACCCAACCTCTAGAAAAAGAAAATTAAGAACAATATGCTATCACATCCTTTCAGGAGTCCTAGGACTTCTCATGATCTATTTCTTCACTAACGGCTATGGAGGCCAGGTCATCAGGAAGTCTGCCAGACTGGAAGTAAAACAGCATGTCCAATGTTTATCATGCAAAGCCATCCTCCACAAGAAGCCAGGTAGGCAGAACTGCTTTGGCTGCATTTTTAGGTATTCCTGCTAGCCCACTTTGCTCCCCTTCTTGGAAGCTCCTTCAAATAAAAGACATTGGAAGTGCCACTTCCCTGTAGTAGGGAAAAACAGAGAGACAAAAAAACAGACACCAAGGAAAGAAATGACTGCTTGTAAAATGTTTCCTTTTAAAAACTATTTTACAACTCCCTAATTGATTTAATAATGTGCAGTTTTAAAACATATAAAATGCCTTACCAGCTAAACGATTTCTTGGTTTTACAAGTCTCCCTCCCTCCCCCTACTAAAAAATAACACGTGTGGACTGGTATTGAACACCTCGTACAGTTGCACGCCAGTTCTTGTTCAATTCTACATGGAGCAGTTTTGATTTTAATCTACTGTGTTTAAAGAAGAACCCATACTGTATACTTGACAGTATAACCAGCTACACAGAGGTCTTTAATCTCATAACACAATAAAAAAGATCACTGTAAAGTTGCAGTCCCTTTGATAAATGATTATGGTGACGCATGCAGTCCTCCTCAGTGCCGCTGCTGCCAGACACAGGACGTGATTTTCTCCATGGGCTGCCAAGAGGCCTGACACCACACCGCCAGGAGCCGCAGCCGGGCCGGCACACCACTGCCCCGGTGCACAGTGTCCTGCAGTCACTGGAGAAAGCTGCAGTGAATTGTCTCGCTCCACATCACCACCACCGCTGACCCAACCCAACCCAACCCCCGGGGGAGCACAGCCCCCTCCCCGCCTCAGCCGCAGGAGATCACTGTGAAGCGCTTGGAAATGCATGACATGTTGTGGAGGACGATGCCCAGGAGAAAGACCAGGACGCAGGCCACCAGGATCACAGTGCACACCCCAGACCAGGTGGAGCTTTTCACAGCACCTCTCCGGTCCGGCTCCTCCGCTCCCACCTCGGCGGAAAGGCCGCTCTGCAGAGGCTGCTGCTCTGTGGGGATCGTCACCACCGTCAGGGACTTCTGTTGGCTGCCAGGCAGGAGGCGGCAGCCAATGTCTCCTGGCAGGAGCGCCCTCTCCTTGGAGAGGGGCAAGGGCAGCATGTAGCACCCATTGCTGGGGAGTTTGATGAAGACAGGGGTGTGCTCCGAGGTGTGGGGGATCGCGATGACGGCGATCACCTCAGGGTCATCGGGCAGCTGTGACACAGAGTACCCCGGAGGCAGCTTGGTGATCCCACGGCACCACGGGCAGCGCAGGTCCTTCTGGCTGGTCCTCATTTGTTGCAGACACACCGAGCAGCAGGTGTGCTTGCAGTCCAGCAGCTTGGGCCGCCGGCGGGGGCTGTAGTAGTTGAAGCAAATCTGGCACTCCAGCAGAGAGTCCTGGGACAGGGTCTCCATGGCAGCCAGCACAGGAAAGCCTTGTGATGAGCCTCACTCTGACACCCCGTAGGCAAGGGGTAGCAGCCTTCCCACCACTTCTCCTCAGGGCAGCACCTGCCTTCCTGACACTGCTTCTCCTCAGGACAGCACTGGGCAGCGGCTATGGAGAGCACAGGAAAACCTCTGGCCTGAACCTTTCAGTACCTGAGACAAACAGGAAAAATGTGAAGGAAAAGGTTACTCATAGGAACCAGTGGGAACAAGAGTCTAGCTAAGGGGGAATGAAAACCAGCGCTGACCTTGTTATCTGGTGGGAGAAACAAATTTGCAATCCTTAGCTAGAAAGCATCTTCCCTCTGCCTTCACCAAACAGCCTAGTGGAAACCTTCAGGTCAGTCATCACTAGGTCTCTTGGGTTTTTTTTTTCCTCCAATTTCCCTGCAAACAAATCGCCATCAACCCACCAGTCTGCCTTTCCAGTTATATTTATCTCCGTAACAGAGGTGGCTGTAGTTCACTAGCCAGGTCCTTCAGCAACTCCCTCCCGCCGTATTTTCAGGACTTTTCAACCCTTCCTGCACCATAACAATTGTTCTCATTTAATCCTTTAAACCCCTGAGGATTTTTAGCTATTTGGCTCAACTGCTAAGTTTGCATGAAAGGTGGGGGAAAGAAAAAGTGTATTTAAATGGAAACATTTCCACAAGCTCCTGAACTCATGCCTGTGCTTGAATGAGCAACCAGGTAACTATATTGAAACACCTACATTTGCACATAATGAAAAGGAACGTTACTATTTTCAGTCAAATTAACTGTTTGCCTAGTTACACAAACAGCTTGTTGAACATAGCCCCTGAAACATAAACCTTCTCACTGATGAAAACCTCACCTGAGGCAAAAAGCTCTATTTAGACCCAGGACCACTGGACACCATGAAAAACAATCTGATGATGCACTGAATTAAAAGCAAATTGTTACTAACTTGTTCTAAACTATTCATTGTAAAGAGATTCCTTCAATAATTCCCATTTCTCCATTTATCACTTACAGCTTCGCAGAAAAATGCATGTGTGTTTACATTCACAGTGTGTTGTTTAGCTTTGTTTGATTTTGGTCACTCCAACACATGATTAATATGAAGAGGTGACATTTTTACAACACTTTACATTGCCTTCCTTGCTGAATTTGAAGAAGTATCAGCCTGAAATTGCATCCAGAGAATATGATAAAGAAAACCCAAAATATTTGTATGGTGACCTTTGGTTCTCTCTTGTTGCAATCTAACAGCCAAACTAGAGTTGAGGAATACATCTATCAGAGGACTGCTTCTTTTCCATACAGTAATGTCTTGCTCTTCTCCCCAGATCACAGCAACTAGGTTGCAACTTACTAATCGATGGGTTATGTCAGTAAAACAAAGTAACAAAAGAGAAGGCAGGCATAGCCCTGGGGTTTGCCATGCAGGACAGCACTCTGGACCACACTGTCCCGTATCCTGCTTTTGGCAGTTACCAGTATTTGAATAGGGAAAACAAAATACACGTCATCTCTTCACATGCTAACAACTGATATCACTGACACTGGCAGAACTAGTACTGCTGCTGATTTCATAACAGCAGTGGATTTTGGCTCACAAGATGCTTCAACAAACACTCATTGACAGTCGTGGCTTAAGAGGGAGCACGGGTTGCAGTTACGAAGGCAGGAGCTTCTGAAACACATATAAGAGCTGAAGGTGAAAACAGCACATACCAAACATCCAAACAAGCACTTCTAGGATGCTTTGCCTCAGAGGCCACCATTAGGAGAGACCCCTACCAGCATGAAGCCAGCATGGGTCCAGCAGCACCTGGTCTGCACTACCGCTGTACCACACAAGGTATTTAAGAGATACTCCACGTGCAGGGGATGCTGAACACTGTTGCAGAAGGGGCTACACATCTGCTGCCTGTGTGCAGGCAATACCAAGGGAAAAGTGGAAGAAAATGAGGAGAGGTTTTATCTTCTTTATTCTATTCTAATAGGGACATTACTATCTCCATAGCCCTATGGTACAGGCACACACAAAGGAAGACTGTCAGAAATGAGCAGACACACTAATAGACTAGCATGCAGCTGAGAAAGAAAAATGGAAGAGAGCTATCCACAATGCTGGGCAATTCCCAGCTGAAAAAAAAAAACATTAAGAGACAAAGGCTAGATTAGAAACTAGTTACAGGAACTCAGGAAGGAACCACTGAAACCATCAGATCTAGTTTGCAGTCACAAGCAACCCAGGAGGTTTATATTTTGGACAGAAGTATCCATACAAAATCTTCACAGTTACACACACTGAAGTCAAAGTTGAGCTCAGACATTACAAGACACAACTCTTACTTGCTTTATATGCAAATCTATTTTAAAAAAATCCAGGTATAACAATACTGCGGTATTATTATGAGAAAAAGCCCCAGTGCCTAGAAATTCAGAAATTAAGGCTTATCATAAATGGCCTGGGTTAGAAACAATCTAAAAGATCATCTAGTTCCAAACCCCCTGCTGTGGGCAGGAACACCTTCCATGAGACCAGGCTGTCAGAACTCCATCTAGCCTGGCCTTGAAAACTTCCAGGGATGGGGCATCCCCAACTTCTCTGGGCAACCTGTTCCAATGCCTCACCACCGTCACAGTAAAGAACTTTTTCCTAATATCTAATCTAAACCTACTCTCTTTCAGTTTAAAACCATCCCCCCTTGTCGTGTGACTACTCTGCCCAAAGACAAAGTGGAAGTACTCCTGCAGATGTAAATCAGTATCTCTGCATAGAAGTTCTGCCCTCCACATTTTGGATGTCAGTGAACGGGCTGTGGAAGTTCTCAGACCTCATTTAGCCGTCATCTACAACCATCTCACTCCACTAACAATGGTAAAGGTAAAACAGTTTCTATTGATGTGAATATGATTGGGACCAAGATAATTTTTCTGACCACATCCCTCGTGCCTGTCCCAGTGACATCCTTACAGTAGAAGATTAGTGCTAGGAGAGAATGAGATGAAGTATTTGGAACTAAAGAATAAAACACAAGTCACTTTCAGGCAAATAGTGCCCTAAGGAAAAAGAAGAAAACCCATCCCAACAAGATCTAAGCTGCTTTGAATGCTAAGCAATGCTACGAAGCATTTCTCCAGAAGGTCAACATTTTAAAGCATTAGTGCAACGAACCGGAAGAAAAAGGAAAAGAACAGTGACAAATTAAAAGGTTAAAATAGAGCTCACCACCTATATGACATAAATTGTTCATATTTTCCCAAAATGTTTCAAATAATAAATAATCAGACCTGTGCCAGGTCAATAGTAACAACCAGTAAGCAGAGAGATTAGGATGATTCCTTCAGAACATGACTAAAGACAAGTTAAAAAGTAGCCAAAGCCATCTAACCCCTTGGCCTTTGCTGACACTGCTTTGTTCAAAGGTTGGACACGTAGCTTCACGGGTGCAATATAACTTTATTTCCAACCATACTGAAAGTTCTACAATCCTCTTGCATTCTGCCTCAGCTCAGTTTGAGGATAGAAGAACGTCAAGCCATCATCTACAGCCAGAATCAAACTGCATTATTATCTATTTGATAAATTTTGCCACAAATAGTTAGGAAGGGAAAAGCCATGGAAGCTCTCTCAGTACTCTTCTACCACTTCACTTTAATAACTATACCAAGAGGAGCAGATCTCTTGGACAGGGGACTGAACTCTCTGGTTTGTGTTCAAAGCACCCTCACACCAGCTGAAGGTAGTGAGCTGTCACAAGTGAACATCTCGCTCAGAGCTTATTCAGACTGGACTCTTCTCTGTGCTTCAAGCATGAAGACCGAGAGGCAGCCAGGTTGCATGAGGGCACTGCTGACATCAACCATCAGCCAAAACTACTCCTGCGTCATTATTTGCACTCTTCACACAGTGACGCCCAAGGTGGGCAAGGGGACTGTTGACAGGAAAACAGAGGTGTGGGGGGAAGCAGAAAATACTGTCAAGGATATCTGTAGGTCTCTGCGAAAGAGACTGTGTGTATGTATGTGTGGATAAGGGCATGCATGTGGAAGTAGGGGCTGGGTAGTACAACACTGAAAGCACACACACAGACAGAAGCAACTGCAGCTGCAAGTAGTGACCCTGCCTGGCACAAACCTGACAGCAATTGGAAGCTCTTCAGGGCTGAGATTTACCTAGTAACACAAATAAAAGCTAACTGGATATGAAAATTCACAGGCTCCAAAACTCATGTGTCAGAAAGGTGCAGCTGAAGCAAAGGAAGCAAGAAGAGACAAGCCATGAAAAGAAGCATCAGGAGACCTCTTCTGCCTCCCCCACACCCTCTTTCCCTTCCTGTGCATCTGCCCAATATCCATAAGGTTGCCACTGGCAAGCAAGGCAAGAGATTCACAAGCAGTTACAGAGACACAGGAAGGAACCTGCAAAGCTGATGACACCTGCAGCAGAAGGTCAAAGTAAAGCCAAGTGCTTGAGAGCATGGCACAAAGGTCCTCCCTGCAGATTTGGGCTGTCCTCTGCACAAGCCACGAGATTTTAAGATTTGAGAAATGATGGTATGACTCAAGAGCAATAAATCTCTGGAGAATAGAACAGGTATTTCAGCTGTTTGTCAGTCATGACATCTGTTCTGTCAATACCTTGTTGGAGGCCACAGATGAGCCCCAAGTTCTCTTTGTTGGGGTGAGCAGGAGGCCAAGAATGCCAAGGCATTCTGCTCCTTACTCCTCAAGAAGCAGAAGGCGCATTGTTGCTCTTGCTATTCGTAGCTTCCTAGCACAGTGTAAGGAGGTGCTGCAGGAGGTGAACAGATGAAGTTTGCTGTAGCTGCAACAGTGAGAGGAAGAAAGCACAGGTTTGCTCTGTACAAACCCTAACTATAAACTGGTCCCAACTGGCCAGGTCAGAAAAAAACGCTATGTTTGGAACACAGTGCAAAGGGAAACATTGGATATCCACGACGGAAGCTGTACAAAAAGTCAGAGGAGAGAGTCATCAGTGGCAAATCTTTGCACAGAGACACGATATTTTTTCTTTGTAAGGACAGCTCCAATTAAGCAGTGGAAACCATAGCCTTGAAGGGGTGCTTCCTTCACTGAAGGACTCAGAACTATCTTCACATATACTTTCTAACTTATTAAGGCCCAAAATTATATTAACTTGAAAGCCCCAAAAA